TCGTCATTTCCGGGACATGATGCAGCATCATCTGAAGAAAGACCACCGAACGCTTCTCAGCTTCGAGGCGTGGCTTCTTGAGCGGCGAAGGTGAGTCCCTGCTGTGTTTCCCGGCTCGCTTCGGCAATCTAGTTTTGCGCCCGGAGACCGTACCCCCGCCTACCCTCCCAGAATCGGGTTTGTCGGGTTGACGAGTCGTAGATCCACCTGCGGCGTCCTCCGGCATCGAGGTCTTCGGTGGTGCAAAGGGATAACTGTACATGATAGCGTGATAGGACCCATCCAGCAAGAGGTCTGGCACACAATAGATATCTGGATCAAAGGCTGGGGGGTCTGCGTCGAAGGACTGGACCATGCGACGGGGAGAGAAATGATCGATACGCAGGACACCTGCTTTCGCGTTGGATTCGGATTCGGTAGGTTCAAGCTCCGTTAATCGCAGGCTATGACGGTCCAGGAGAGCGGTATCGCCAACCGTCAGGATATGGTGGCAGAGTTGCTCAAATAACCAGGATTTAGAAGCCGCAAGATAGTTTGGCGGCGCCTGCATGACTTCCATACGCGTCAAACTTTGCAGCATATCAAAACTCCAGTAGCGACGAAGTTGTGTTGCGACATGTCTGGACGGTAATACCGCGACGAGGGCTTCAGGGTCGACAGCAGGGTTACGTCGTAGCATCAAGAGATCAGGTTCGTCTGACAATCGAATAGATTTCCAGAAATGCCAATCTCCTAACGAAAGACGGCAGATGTGTTCAAGAGTCGCTAGGTCAAGGGACTTTATATAGTCTTCCAAAGACCAGATCTTCGACTTGAAAGCGGAAGCGGGGATGTTCCACAGGCAAAGACCGGGGCGAGTGCCGAACGCGTGTATGTGCTCGAGAACGCGAGCGAGATCGTCTTTCCTCGGGCGGATGTTTTTATGGATCAAGGCTCTTCGAGGAATATTGTGTCAGCCGAGCAACAGGAGGGTGACGAGCAATAGACGTACTCTGCGAGCAGGGAAGACGCAGAAGGCGCATCCACCGCTAGGTAGTCCACAGCGGACCGCTGATACCAGTTGGAGTAGTACTTGGTATGGGGCTGACAGAGCTGTACAGTAAAGAAAACTGGATCAACCGCTGAAGGGGGCGGCTCTGCTCCGTCTGGGGCCGTATATATGATCATCCAAGTCTTGTCAGGCGCGATGGCTCCGAAGGCAGGGTAACCGTTTTCGTCGCATGGAAGATCGTCCGCAAAAAACACTCCAACCCCATTGAAAAGGTAGAAAGCGTCTTGATACGGAGAGAAGATGACTTCCTTGCCCTCCGACAACCGACGAATGAGTAGATAGTAGGCAAGGTAAGTTTTTCCTAGGAGGGTGGTGAGTCTAAATCACCAGCGTTGTGACGCATTAGGATAGAGCGTACCGACTCCAGCCTGGCCTTGTACAAGGACTCCGTCTCTATGCCGTTCGTTGGGGTTTGTTGTGAGCTGACGATATACGCGCTCGAAGTCTTCGCGAATAGCGATCTTGCCACATGTATCAGGCAGCTCCTCGTTCCAAGGCGTATCAACGCATGCGCAAGAGCGCAGAGAAACGTCGTCTCCCCCCGGATTCAATAGCACTTGTGCTAACATATGTGCACGCCATTCACGGCTGCCGCGTTGAGTCGTTAGTCCGAGCGCTATGACCAGCGGCGTGAGCAGACACTGCAGTGCTAGGTACGCAAACTTACCTCTGGTCCATGCCTTGTGAGGGGAGATATTGAGCCGCGTGAAATCCTTTTCCCAGAATGATCTCCAGGCGTCATAGTAAGGTCCAGTGGCCTGTTGCGACCAGCCCTGATAGACGAAGACCGATTCGGTCATAGCCAAAGAAAGAAAGCCAGAGAGCGATGGCTGACGTAGAGCTACAAGGACGCGGCGTCGGACACGAAACTGAGTCTCGATTGAGAGGGGCGGGTGAGGGCACGATGCAAGTCTCAGTTACCGTGCTCTCCCTCACCCACCGCTGTGACACGTGAGATTTGCCACGTGACGGTCCTCACACAGCTCCGACTCACCCACCTACCGCACACCTAGGTAATTGTTACCCGATCCGATCAGGATCGGGTTCTTCTATTGTTTGTGAGCTCGAAGGGCGGCTGGGGACACCCAAAATCTCTGGAACGGCGCGCCAGCGCGGGGCGCCGGGCGCAAATCATGGCGCGGCGGCGCACTTGATATAAGGCGGCCGGGCCGCTGAGACCTGCCTGCAGATGTAGCAAACTTTATTGTGAACGTCGACCCTACAGTGGCGTGCAAAATAAACGCATGGGGTCTATGACCGCATTTTCCCACGCGTACTGTCCAAATAAAATGCTACGATAATAG